TACTGGCCTGCTGTTAACATAATCAAATAGTCATTGGGTTTTCCCGTTATTCTTTGCAGAAAAGTGGTGAACTATATTTGAGGTGAAAATGAAACCATGACATTGCCCCAACTAAGAAGTTGATGACGCCCCCCAAAAATCTAATTGGTTTCAATTGAATCCCTGGCTTCTGCGAATGCTGGTCGGCAGATTGCTACTATCATCGGAGCATTGGGAAATGTGGTCTCAAATGACGCAGGCCTGTTTGTTTTTTAAGTGGATTTCCGATGATTGACAAGGTATTGGTTTCCTTTAGATCCTGCCCCACCACGGTGGCGAATGGCCCCCCTTGCTTCACTGATGTTTTCAAACCCGGGCTTCAAAGACCCATTACTTGCTTCGTTTTGATTGTGTCACAGTCATGTATCATCTATTCATGTTGCGGTTACAGATTTCAGGAACTGCTGAACAAATTGGATGAAATCAGCCTGCCCAGCTGACATCACAGCGGCTGGTGTTATCAGGGATTTTTTTTGGTTTGGATTTTATTTGTAGGGTACCTTTTCAAAAAGTTAGCCAACACATTGACTAAAGTTCCTACAGCACGCAAAGCATGAAAAGAATGCCAAGATAGAATTTCAGCCTTCTGTTAAGCCCTAAGTCCGCTAACCAACGAAATTGATCTAAATTGTTCTAATAATCAAAGGTTTGCCCGGGTTTTCAAAAAAAACAACAACGTCACCCCCAAAAGACAAAACATACAAACAACGTGCAAGCTACCGTGCGTATTCTTAGCATTTCACGGCATACACACACATACACAACATACACACAACAAACAATAACATAGCCAAAACATGGGGGTCTCGCAGCAAAAGGCAACAACAAACAGCAGGCTCTTGCTGCAACTCAGGTAAGCGAAAGGATGTCAAAAAGAAAAGTGCATTACTTCACACAATGACTCGCATACAATCGTCGGCTTCTGGATGCTTCGATCTGTTGTATAAACATTTCAATTACATTAAAAATATGGGAAGACAGTGGCCCAGCATGCCACGTCATTAAATTTCCTCCCTGTTGATTGCATGTACAAGAATAATGTGCAAATAATTGCAGCATATTTTTTCCAGCAAGAAGACAGTGGTAAGCCATATGTTTACCTCTCCACTTCAAGACTTTACTATTTACTGTTTAGCTTAGTTTCCTTCAAGCTTATGACTCACTTGACTCAATTGACTCAATACCGTCAATACCTTTTGTACCTTTTGCTTTACTCAGGATACAAAGTTCCCTCAAGGATTCCCATGTGGTGATGAACAATTCCGGATTCGGTAGCGCTCCGGACCTTGCAGGGTTTGCCGATTCGGTAGAGCTCCGGACCTTGCAGGATTTTTTCAAAAATTAAAACATCATCCAAAAAATCAAAGGTGCTGTTAAGATATTCACCTTGTACAGGGGGGGGGCTGCCACCCCCCTCCTGCAAGGTCGGTAGCGCTCCGGACCTTGCAGCCCCTCCCCTGTATTATCTTAACAGCATGTCGAAAATATTCAGAGGGGGGGCTGCAAGGTCAAAAATCCATGGCCCAATGATTGGTGGGGGGAGGGGCTGCAAGGTCGGTAGCGCTCCGGACCTTGCAGGAGGGGGGGGCTGGCAGCCCCCCCCTGTACAAGGTGAATATCTTAACAGCACCTTTGATTTTTTGGATGATGTTTTAATTTTTGAAAAAATCCTGCAAGGTCCGGAGCGCTACCGAATCGGCAAACCCTGCAAGGTCCAGAGCGCGACGCTACCGAATCCGAAACTGCTCATCACCACATGGGAAATGGGAACTTTGCATCCTGAGTCTGCCAACATATGAGACTGAGTAAACCAAAAGTTACAAAAGTTATTGAGTAAATTGAGTCAATTGAGTCATAAGTTTGAAGGAAACTAAGCTAAACAGTAAATTGTAAAGTCTTGAAGTGGGGAGGTAGACATATATATATATATATTATATATATATAGCTGCTTACGGTTCTGTTCCTGAGCCATTCCAGCCCACACTACACCTCAGAAAACATTACTGTAGTGAAGCAAGGGGGGCCATCTGTCACTATGGTGGGGCAGGATCCATTCTAAGGTAAAACCCACAACTTGTCAATCATCCGAAGTCCACTTAAAAGCAACAGGTCTGTGTCATTTGAGACAACATTTCCCGATGGCAGCTGTGATCTGCCGACAATCAATACTCAATAATTCATGGCCAGACTATGCTAGATTGGCACTCGCAGAAGCCAGGGATTCAATCGAAACCAATTACATTCTTTGGGAGTGTGCTATCACTTGCTTGGTGGGGGCAAAGGTATGGTTTCAGTGTCATTATTTGCTTGCATCACCCATTCATAATGTTGTTTTGGATCTCAGGAACTGCTGAACAAATTGGATGAAATCAGCCTGCCCAGCTGACATCACAGCGGCTGGTGTTATCAGGGTTTTTTTTTGGCTTGGATTTTATTTGTAGGGTACCTTTTCAAAAAGTTAGCCAACACATTGACTAAAGTTCCTAAAGCACGCAAAGCATGAAAGGAAGGCCAAAGATAGAATTTCAGCCTTCTGTTAAGCCCTAAGTCCGCTAACCAACGGAATTGATCCAAATTGTCAAATTGTTCTAAAAATGAAAGGTTTGCCCGGGCTTTCAATAAAAAACAACAACGTCACCCCCAAAAGACAAAACATACAAACAACGTGCAAGCTACCGTGCGTATTCTTAGCATTTCACGGCATACACACACATATACACAACAAACAATAACATACGCACACACACACAACATACACACAACAAACAATAACATAGCCAAAACATGGGGGTCTCGCAACAAAAGGCAACAACATACAACAGGCTCTTGCTGCAACTCAGGTAAGCGAAAGGATGTCAAAAAGAAAAGTGCATTTTTACACAATGACTCGCATGCAATCGTCGGCTTCTGGACGTTTCGATCTGTTGTATAAACATTTCAATTACATTAAAAATATGGGAAGACAGTGGCCCAGCATGCCACGTCATTATATATCCTCAATGATAAGAATATTGATAAAATAAACGATATTCCAAAAAACAAAAGGTAGTGACTATTTGACTATGTTAACATTAGGCCAGTATATATATATACACGTACATATATCCAATGTATTCCAATGTGACCATTTGGATCTATGTGTAGGCTTTGGCATGTTTTGGCAAATGTTGAAGAATTGGGGTTCGTTCTTGGATTGACCACTTGCCACGAGATTGCTTGATTCTGAACAGAACCCAGCAACAGGTCCCCGGGATTGTTTTGCGGGGGCAAATGACGGTGACGTCGCTGGCTGACCAGCCGCAATGATGGTGAGCAAGTGAAAGTACTGAGTATATCCTGAAAGTTGACATTTCAATATATTTCACCACTTCCTAAAGTCGGAAAAGAAATGACGACCATTTCTTCTTACATCACCATTTTTTTCGTTCCTTGGCTCTTTGATCCGCTTTTTATCCGTTGGTCAGGTGGAGACTCTGCACAGACCTATGGGTCCATTGATGCTGAACTCACTGAGGCTGGAATTGTGGCTATAAGCTACAGTAGCAAGGGTATTGCAGATTTGGTCAGTTTCATCCAAAATCAGGGGCTCGCCCCCATTTCAACTATAGCCAAATTGGCAACTCCCTTCATCAAAGTCAAATGGAAGTGATTTGCACACCACAACCGAATCATTTGCGAATTCAACGCGATTTTGACCATGTGGTTGGGCTGCTGCTGATTCGGTATGGGATTCGATAATTCAAAAAAACATGGGGGGACCACAGCTTTTAGGTCATTGTAAGCATTAACCATTCATGGTGGCTGGTGAACTCCAGATTTTCACGAATGATTTTCTCGAGTTTTGTGGATTACAAGCCAAGTCCCATGGAATTGCTATGGAGGGAATATCATAAAATCCCAATTGATTTGATTGGTTGGGGCATGCCATTGGGTTGCAGGGCTTTTGCTCGGCTGCAACTGCAGCCAGGGGGAAGGAAGTAACGAGGTCGCGAAAAGGCCGAGCTCTGGGCCTTGGAACGGCTGATCACATGGTTAATTTTGAAAAAATGTGGTTAAAACGATGCCATTTGCACCATCCCCCAAATCAACATAAATGGGTGGTATAAACCATCAAAAATGGGTGGTTTATATGATGGTTGTAACCACATTAGGGAACAGATATTTTTGACGGAAGGTATTCTGGGGGAAGTGAGGATACATGAATTTTGACCCCAGAACCATCCCAGTAACCAACCATTTGGATGCAATTTATAATATTCATACCATCCAAAATCAGGGCACGCAATAGCAAGTGTCAGTTGGGGATTGATTAATTACTGGGTTTATCATACGGCAATGTGCATTTGAAGGCGTATTCCAAGACATGGTGGTGCCGCTGTTGGTCTGAGCACCTTGCGAAAAAAATACTCCCAATTCTCGGTTGTAAACTCACCATCTCTGGCGCTTACTCCCCAGCGTTCTTGTTTCCGTGAGGTAAAATCTTGGCTTTTGCCGGTGAACTCCTGGTTTGATGGCTGAACTCTTCACTTCTAAGGTTAAAACCTGGCTTTTGTTCATGGGTGAAGAATCATGGTAAAATCCATTAAAATCTTCTTCCTTGAGACCCTGCCATTTTTGGTTGGTTTCCTCATGGGCTTTAACCCGCTTGACGTCACTCGACCCCTCTCGGGACGTGTCAGGCTGCCGCAGGGAAGGGATGCCGAGGCCAGTTTTTTGAGGAACTGTGGAATCTGTGGTAAGTTTGAACGAACACGGGGGCATGATTCTAAGACACACCCTTCCAGTCAACTATTTCTTTCTTGGAACATATGTATACAATATGATGCAACATAACAATATATAATCCTAGATCCTGAACCATCCAGAAGTTTCTGGTCGAAGACCATTTCAGTTTCAGTTTTGGTCGTTTCGAAAAAATACGGTCGTTTCAAAAAATCACACTTTTACTGGGTTGCACAAAATCAGAATAAACCTTGATCACGCGCATATTTTCTTTGCGATTTCTTCACAGCGTCCCCCGCTCGCAGCTTCTGGCAAACTGCAACGCAATAGCGGTTGTATATTTTGTGGCCATGCCTCCTGGCATTGACGCGCCTGCTTAATCTTGAGACGTGGCCAACAAAATCCTCGCTCATGAATGTGGCTTCTGCCACTGGGTTTGTTGTGCAGCCAGTGTCACATCGAAATTGTTGCAGCATCCTAAAAACGATATGGGCAAACATATGCAGTTTTGGTTTGAGCTTGAACAAGCATAGCTTCTGATGATAGCAAGCCTGTGCCAATCCAGCAAAAGCTGACAAAAATTCCTGCCCCGCAAAGATGGCCTGCCAAGCTTCAGACTCACATAGCCAATAGGGAGCAGAAAGCAACACACGCATAAAGTGGTTTATAGCGCTGCTTCCCTGCACTATGAGCTGCATAACAGGATCTCCAGGATCCAAATTGTTGGCTGCCACGTGCTCCACAAACTTGATCATTACAGCAGTATCCAAATTTTTGGACCAGTGTCCCATAGGGTATGTTCTGCTGCTTTCGTAGCCCAAGAGTTCAAATGTGATGTTGCTAAAATTGACACGTTCTTTTTCTGTGGCAAGAAAATTTCGGAAAAGGAGATTGACATGATCCAACGCCAAACCAATTCGGGACGACTTGAACGTCTTAGCACAGAAATAGATGATGCAACTGGCAGCAAAATCCTTGCCGACACCAGCATGCAAAATGTGAAACAAGTCAGGCCTGTAGAAGGAAGCTAGATCTTCTTGATCCACTGGTAAGTATGCCAAAAGCGGCCCTGGACGATCCCACGGTAAAGGGTTGTTAGGCCCAATAGTTTCCAACCACTGGGCATCAGTAACCCGCACATCTTCAAATGGTGGTCCATTTGATATGCCAGCAGCGCACAGCCAGCAAACCCCCTTGCACAGGGATTTGGAAGAATGAGACTTTTTGACATTGGAAAAACTCCGGTTGTGGAATCCAGTTTCACGAAGGAAAGGAGCATCACCAGTCAAGCCCAATATAGCCACTTTCCATGTGTGGCCATCGAGCTCCAAGCCCGAAGTGTACAAGTCAGCGAGATGCTGTCCCCAAAAGTCAATCAAGGTTTCAAATCGGTGATTTTTTTCTTGTAGAATTCAGCCTTCATAGCAGTGTAAAGAAAACGGTGTGTATACGAATGGCCAAGAAGGTTGACACCACATTCGATGCCCTCTTCTGCGGAAGAATCATCGTCGTGCTTTCGCTTCGCATGGCGACCAAGCTGCGTTGAGGCCGGTCTTTTTGCCGTTCCTCTTCCCAATGCACTGTACATGCTCAGCACTAAAATAGGATCCTTTTTGTAGGTTCTACCACCATCACCATGAAGGTAAAAAGGTAGAAGTCTGGACCAATTTTGATCTGTTTCTCCAAGCTGACTCAAATCGTGGGTTGGATTTGCAAGCCTAAATCTTCTCCAGAAATCAGCTAAGCTTTTCTCTACACTTTCAAGTGGCCCCTCCACCCCAAATATCCGGTGAGTAAACCCTGCATTGGCAAAAGCAAACAGAAGGTCCCGTGGGTGAAGGCATGGGTATTCAAAGGTGTTGTCCAGCTTCAAAGTTGTAACTGGCACATCAAGGGCGTGCCCGCAATCTTTCAAGGCTTTGAACAAAGGTTCATCAGGATCTGCCACCCTTGCACTGGCGATGCGACGCAGGACTGGGCAATCATCCTTCACTGAAGCGGACTGTGCTTCCTCAACGCAATCAGCTGCAGGAGCCTTGGATCAACAAGTTTGCAGATTTGTGAGTGATTGATCTGGGAGGGAAGGCATAAGTAAATGACATGTCGTCAATTGTTTTCAAGGAACGCCTTTTCCATAGATCTTTGCAATGTGCACGACCGTCTGGCTTAACTCAAAGCCTAGCGCAACTTGAAATAAAAGGAGCATATTTCAGCTGAGATGTATGTGCATATATGGGTTTCTTTGCAAAGCAATCACGACGTTGAAAGAATTTTCCACACACATCATGTGTGAAGAACAGCTACCATCATCCACAATAAGCAAGCTGGCTGCATGCAATTTTTTCGATGGCTGCACGTGTGTTATCCTGAATGAATCCCCAACAGACACAGGTTCTAAGGGGCTGGCTGCCTGGCTGTGTTTTTGCAGGCAGATGCATGTGCACAGCACCCACCCGGACTGTTCTCAACCCCTGACAAGAAGTTGCCCTGGACAACTCCAGAAACTATAGCGCTGCATAAATGCAGACAAGAACAGGGAAACAAATCCCCATCGCTACCATTCACTTTTCGGTCTTCACTGAACGCTTAGCCTTGCTGACGAAATGCCTCAAACAAACAGGCAAGCCACGGGTTAGTGTTTGCTAGCATGGAATCATTTGCTGGATCCAGAACTCAGCTAGGAAGTGTTTTGGGGAACCCGCTTTGCAGCAGCTTCGGCTGCAGTCGCTTTGGACATCCTTAGATAGCTCACTAATGTAAATTGCTCTAAGGTGGACCAGGGGAGGACGGGGCCAACTGATTTTTGGCACAATAAGAAACAACAAAATGTGCAGCTTTGCTTCGCTCGCGTCATCTTGAGGAACTCAGCATCGATCTTCTCGCTCAACCTGGGCAAAGCGATTTGATGGCTTTTCCCACCGGGCGCTGTGTGACTGAGAAAGCAATAGCGTTCGGATATTCAAAATTTTCCCACTAGGTACTGTTTGATTGAGAAAGCAGTAGTATTTCGATATTCAGGCTGTCTCCTACACTCCTTCACTGTTTAATTTTCAGAAGAGTACCATTAAGATGCACACTCTTTGTTGAAGCCAGTGGTTTCTCCTTCAGCCTGGTATTCCGCCAACTGTTCATAGATCTGTTCGATGGTCTTTGCGTTGTCATGTAGCTTCGCAACTGTCCTGAAGTGATGTGCATAATATGGTCATATCTTTGCTGAGGTAAAACTTGCAGTGGAATCTCAACTTTTGCAGCTCTGAACTGATGGGCGGGAAGTTAGCAGCCAAGCTTCGCCTTGCAAGATTGGTCTTCCAATGCCAAGGCTCGGATCTTGTCAGCCACGGTGCTGACTGAATTTTTGGCCTTCAACCCATTCTTCAAGTACATCGCAAGCTTTTGTTTCACCTTATTGGGGGATGCGGCATGTAGACATGTACTTGAATGCTAAAACGGTCAGTTGCCAAATTCAAGATTATCAGGTTGCCACTTAGTGACCCCTAGGCTCTTGTCCCCTTCCGTGGCAAGAGCAGGCTCAGCACCACCCAAATCGGGAAACCCACCAACACTCAAATCCACTTGCTCATGTGCAAAAGCATCTGCAGTGGTCTCTTGTTCATGGGTACGAGACTTCGACAACGTGAGCAAATCTTCACGGGATAGGGTGCCAGATGTTCTCACATTCACCCAATACTCCAAAGTATCTTCATCATATTCGCAAAGCCTGCCAGAACATGATTTTGGAACACAACAGGGAGATACACCATTGCTTGTGCAGGCAACAGCTGGCCTCACAAGCTGCTTTGCAATGGCCCACTTTTTGATCTTCTCGATGCGGTCCCTTGGATGAAAGGGAACATGGGAGACAAGGTCGGAAAAACCAGAAGGAGACAGGAGGGCCTGCATGTCATAGGATGCCTAAGTGCTGCTAGAAAACTCCGAATACCCAAGCTCAGACTTCATATCCTCTTCTGAGTAAAAGCCACCCTGGACTTCAATCTTCTTGCTTTTCGTTGTCACACTTAAGATTTCCACCCGTTCGAGAAAGATAGCCTTGGCTAGCCATCATATGCCACAGGGATTCACAATAGATGGGCCCCGGTGGAGATTTTCAGCATGGGACCAGGCGAAGAAAAATGAACAGCGCCACTATGGCTGTCAAAGCGGGCTACATGTATTTTTATAGAAAGCCAAGTTGCAATTATATAATACAGATCTATATTACATATACTATAGATATGGCATTTAAATTGATCACCATAGGTGTTTGACATCCCAAAAATTGTTTTGTGCGACCAATAAGCCTTAACTCCGCCACTCTTGCACCAAAGCGAGAACAACTTTTCTTTCCCTTGTGGTGTGTTCCACAGCTGGTGCACATCATCCGGTACCTCCAGCCTACCAGTATTTTGTTTGGGGCAAACAATGCGCCTGACCTTCTCCTTTTCATAGCGGGAAAGGGTTGCCACATGAAGCACTGCTGGCTCTTCCCCATTGACATCCGCTTCCTCCGCCTCAGGTGCCTTTGCGTCTGGCTGAGTATTTCCAGCCTGCAGCGCCTCGGCATGATCACCAGCAGGAGTGGCCTTAAAGCAGGGCTTGGCTTGGGAAGGGACAGCATATGTTTTGGAAAGTAAGAACAAGTGCATTTACCATTGCGTATACATGCATACAACATAGGTTGATTCAAGTGGCATTTTTCATCTCTAGGGATTTTTCATTGGGAGGAGAACGTTCAGGCTGTTCCCCTTGAAGTGTCAACAACTGCTGTTTCAACACCTCAATCTGATGTCCTTGCTGGTCTACAAGAGCTTGAAGGTATGCTGCATTCTTGTCCTTAGCAAGAGGTATGCATGGGGAAACCAATGCACCCATGAAGGAACAGATGCACCAACAATCAAAAAACTAGTGGAAACTGCACGTCTTGCTTTTCTCATGTTTTTGCTGATGTTGCCAACACATCATGCCAACAAGTTTCAACCTGTTCGTTGGTCTGGGGAGGTGTCACAGGCGCTGGTGTAGCAACAGGTGTCGGTGAGAAGACATGATCCAAACTCCCATTCGCATTCAGAGGCTTGTCAAACACCAATGACTGATCAGGGTGTAGGGGGTCTGCACTCACACTGACAGCATCAAACTCCTTGGCCAACAAACGTGCCACTGGCATCTCCTTTGCTGACGCTGCTTTTGGCCGAGGTGCTTGGGACGGCGTTGGAGCCAACAAGCGTTGAAGCTTGGCCCCAGTGTGCTCCAAGTGCGTGGCTCGCTTGCATGGGGGTGGTCTCGGGCTACTGGGTTCAGAAACAGCAGGAACACTCTTGGGAACCCCGTCCACACTAGGCCTGGCTACTGATTGAACAAGGGTCTTGGGAGGAAGTGGAAAATTCCCCTTTGTTGCAGTAGGAACAGGCTTGCGAGTGCCATCACCCTCGTAATGCACTGTAGGCGCAGAGCAGTAGGGGCTTCGTACCTGCCACAACATATGACGTGAATCATGGGATAGGTAGACATTGGTACATCAACACTATAGAAACTAGTAACTTGAAAATGGTCTCCCTGGAACCCTAAACAACCATGGCAGAAATATATGGTTGGCCCTACATGGTTGTCTGAGGAAATCAACATTTGTTTTTGATTCTGCGGGGTCAAAATACTATATATTATAGATATATCAATAGATATATTATATATGGTATTTTTCCCAACATGTTTCTAGTCCAGCGTGCAGCCACACAAGCGGCCGCTGCTGGATGAATCTGGCCTGTGATTGATTTAAATATATATATATATATCATATATAATATATTATGTGCAGCCTTGCCTGGTTTGACTCCTCCTGGGCCTGGGCACCACCAGCGTCCAAGGCAGGGGACGAAGAAGAAGATATCATCTGCGTGATCACCTCCATCGATAGCAACCACTGCCAACTTACTAGCCACCCAACTGTAGGTAGGCAATCATATGCTATATGCTATCTAGTAGTGATAATGATATAATGGTTTATATCGATCGACATAAAAACACATTTGCCTCCTGCAACTGCTGAAGTTCTTGGGGATCATCTGGAAGCTCACGCTTGATGGCATTGAGGCAATCCTGGTCCATTGCCCGAATGCCGGACAACAGCGAGGATGCCGACCATCCACCTCGAAGGACTGGTTCAGCTGCTCGGGGCTCCGACATGTAGACCTGGCAGCTTCGAACGTCGAATTTCGAACGTCGAATTTCGAACGTCGAATTTCGAACATCGAATTTCGAACGTCGAATTTCGAACATTTTCGAAAAAATGATGCATATATCCAATTTTTTCGTACGAAAAAAAAGTGGTCGTATACGTGTGTTTTTTCGGATGTTTCTTGGGTATTTTTGGATGTTTCTTGACTGTTTTTGGATGTTTCGAAAATCATCGTTTTCACGAAATGTGAACGAAATCCTTCGAAACTGTTCAACCAGAGATTTTTCGAAGTTCTTCCGGGCTGATTCAACCTTTCGAAGGCTTTTCGAAAGACATTTTCGAAAGACATAGCAAGAATCTCAAACAGAGGTTGAAAGTCTACATAGGCATTCTTTTGCTGGTGTCCTTGTTTAGCCTTTTCTGGGCCCTAAAACGCTTAAAAAAGGACAGGTTGAAAAAATGACCTATAAGATTTTTCAACCTCTGTTGGTTTGAAAAGGTTTGTCATCAATTGGCCCTGCCTCTAGTTGAGGACAAACTCCGTGAAGTCTTGAACACTAGCGACTCTGATAGATCGATATGCGAGTTGTATGAATCCAGCTTGAGATGAAGGAAGCTAGATGTAGTCCATACTGACCAGCATAACATGGGCATGCACTCATCCCCTGTTCTTTTTTCCCATGCCCATGTCCAAATGTGTAGTGGCACTATATGGAATTTAAATGTGAGAAGGGATCAACCACTCCCACTGTTCTGGGACGTTAAGACCTTTGGCCCCCAGAAGGTAGTGAACCAGCTGTGGCATCCCTGCATCGTCCCAAAGATCCGGGCCCAACCCATCAGTTTGCGTCCACAAGGAGGTAAGCTCAGCCGCGAGAGCATCCCTGGGACGAGAAGGCTGGATCTCGGCATCAGCTGCAACAGGAAGGAGTTCCAACATCCTCAACGCAAACTTTTTCGTATACGTCCTAAGTGCACATGGGTAAGGACAAAAATATGCATGCATGCTTGTGGAGAGGGTTGGCCACACACTAAATCGTTGAAACAACCGTCATGGAAAATTGTCTCCTTCCTCCAGGGGGTTCTTGAAAAAATGTGCATGTATATACAACTAAGAGTCTGCGTGGACTTCAGCTGGCGACTGCCATGATATCTCTTCTTCCCCTTTTTGTCCACGTATTTGACAGTAGTATAGAAGTCAGGGTACTTCAGCTTAAGGTCTTGCCTGATCTTCTTTGATAATTTACCAAGCCAAAATTTCTTAATGAAGGAACGGTTGCTCCATACCGATGTCCTCTTCGGTGACTTGCTGTCAAAGAAACACATCCAAAAATTGCAGCGAAAAACCTGAGTGCAAGTACTTATATAATTTATCTGAACCACTTTGGTTTCCAGAAAGGTTGAAATTATTCAGCAATTGCACATTCAACCCTAAGTACTAAGGATTCAACTGTCATTTGTTGGCACAGCCATTGCATTCGTGGGTGCCGAAACAAAAGTGAAGATGATGGCTGCTCAATGCACCAGCTGCCAAAGAGAGCAGCAACAAGCAAACATAATAATGCCTCTCGTGCGGCCATGCCATTCCCCTCCATCACAAATTTGGAGGATTCATCCCCACAAGGCGCAAAAAAACTCCTCAGAGTTGTGGCTCTGCAAATGCTCACCCAAGATGCACATTTGACACCTTTCCAGCATGCGAATCCTTCAGTGGACCCACGCAGTATGGATACCATGTGTGTCCTTAGCTACTTCAGCATGAGTGAAGTCTTACCCAATGGAAGCACTGATCTGTATTGATTGCAGTCCCATGGGTAGCTAAGGTCAAGTCGCCATGCCTGCGGGCGTTAAAATGTTCATAGACCGGTGCAAATTCAGATCCAAGCGTGCGCTGGGCACAGAATTCTCTCTCATAGTGTTCGTCATTTCCGATGCACCAGCATAGTGCTCTATAAACACCAACCCCTGGCAGGCAATGCCAAAATTATGTACATTCATTCATTAGATGATCAAACCATATTTTTTTCAAGATTGATGCCAACATGTTTTGATATGTGCAGGAATGCCTCATTCAGCTCGATGCGGCTATTCCACATCAAAAGCAGCGTTGCCAGCACGAAGATCTAGCAAGGCAAGGGTGGATGGGATCATAAGGAAATATCTCAAAATAGAGGGGCCCCAAAATTCATTTTCAATTGAAACAAATAAGGCCTTTGGGGCCCCACTATTTTTTTGAGACAGTAACATGTCCAACCATGAAATTGTGTATCCAATACGTTTGATCTTGAAGGCAGTTGCCCGGCCTTTGGTGATCCATGCTTGAGCAACTGCACAGCGACATATTCTGGTTTCCGGGGCATCCTGTCACTGCCTTTTTTGGTCAGCCCTGAGCTATGAAACACGCTGCGTGGCACATGCGTAGTTTCAACCCCAGGGACACTCAACCCTGTGACCCAGCAGGCCTTCACCACCATGGTGCAGCTCCGCATCATCATAGAAGTCGGTTGCCGCCAAGATGTTCATACGTACCTGGAAAGCAGCCAGGGGGGGTTCTACCACAAAATGATTGGAAAAATGTTTAAGCTATCAAATCATGGAAGGGGAATATAACTATAGTGTATGTTCTAGCACTGGGTTGGAGGGTTCCAGGCAGCAGGAACATTTTTCTCTCATGGGTTTGAGCTTGCTGTGACATGTTGAAGCAGAGCCTAGCCACATAAATTGGCGCCGGGTACCAGGTGGCACTTCATCAAACAACCCCAATCCTATATAGACATGCATGTGCAAGCAGAAGTGCCACCCTACGCCCAAAGAAGCTGTGACCTGCTGTCGGCACTTCTGATGGGTGCCTTCACTCAGACTTGCTGGAAAAACCCAGGCAACTGTGCTCCACCGCTATGTTCATGGAACCGGGAGCTCGCTGATGTAGCGCTTGCCCACCGCAGTGTAGATGTCACCTGTCAGCATTCAGACGGTGGAAGTGCTAATGTTGACCCCTAAAACGGACAAAGTATTTGAATAAATCTTGGGGGCCAAAAAAAACATGCTATATTTAATGGGATGCGTTCACGCGTTTCAGGCTTGACCAAGAAATCATGAGCAAGGTTGGTGGTGATCACTGATACATCGCCCGTTTCCTTCATGGCTTCCCCGCAATGCTTCCACCATTCCTCCTGTAAGGGGTTGATTGGGATATCGGAATCAAGCTTGTCAAATCATACATGCACACCAAGAAACTTGACAGGGTTAACAGGATTGTTTCTCATGAAATGTTTTTCAGAACCAAATTCCTCCATGGTGACATGGCTTTTGAGCTTGTCAAAAAGGAAATTCATCCACACTGCACGGGACTGGAGCCACTTTTCAGGGTGGCGCCCCGGTTTGTAACGCTTGGCAAAGGTTGCTTTCTCAGTTTTCTCAGGTTTTTCCCCTTCAACACCTTCAGCCAACCTCTTAGATCCTCCATCACTTCCC